GGGGGGTGTGAAAAAGGGGGTGGGTGGGAGAGAGAGGACAGGTGAGGTCATGTCGGAAGTCAGGTGGCTTTGTGCATTATCTTCACGACATTGCGTTATTTCCTTTTCTTTCGGCTGTTGTTGTTTTCTTCACCGTTTGTTGGTTTTACAGAAGTGTGGATGTGTGGATGTGTGGATGTGTGGATGTGTGGATGTGTGGATGTGTGGATGGGGGTTTTGAGGTTGTGTGTGTGTTTTGGGGTTTTTTCGCGACATTGTTTTTATTTCCATTCGTTTCGGGTGCGTTTTTTTTTCTTTTAAGTTCGTTTGTTTGGTTTTTTTTAAATGGTTAGGGTACGGGACTCGTAATCGTGAGGATGCTGGTGTGGGGTTCGAGCCGCGGGCCCGACGTTGTGTCCTTGGGAAAGGCACTTCACACACATTTTCCTCACTTTACAAGGTGGGAATGGGTACCCGGCCTTAGACAGCGAAAGATTTTGTCGGTATGTTAGTGTTTTTCCTCACTGTCGACACAATTTACATCTTTTAATGAAAGGTTGAGAACAACATACAACATCCCACCCAGTCCTCTGGCGCTGACCAGATGACAAGGACATGTGGTTACTTGAGGGAGGCATTGCGCTGCCAAGAGCGAAATGCTCGCAGCTAAAGGGATTTGAAAACAACAGCAACAATATCCCACTCAGCCAGGATATCCAACTTGCTAGAGACAGGAAGCTCTTTCTCCCCTCGACGCCCTAGAGGTACAAGAGGACGGAGAAAGTCAAGTAAAAGGCAGGCGTCTGGCCTTGTATCTTTAGGATCGACTGGGGCTTTGAGGGATACAACCTCCCAGCAGAAAGACCGAGCTACTCGATAGAAATGTCACTCCATCTGGGAATCGAGCTTCGGTCTCCTGCTTGCGACATGGGAGCACCTAATGTCCACACCACAGACACCGGTCGCTACCTCGGTAAGCTGTCCTTAGTTTAGTTTTAGTAAGAGTTTACAGCACTTGCAACACAGTAAGGTTGTATAAGTGTCGAAGATTAGAGGTATTACAAGAAAGTAACAAACACAAAAAAGAAGGAGGGGAGATCAGGACGATAGATGTTTGATAGGAATGAAGGAGCAAACCACACTACAGCACCCGCCAAGCACCCACGTAAGCTGTCCGAATGTAATTGGTCGCTTTTAAGGACTAGCGGACTAACCCAGATTTCGGGGTTTTCAAAAATCTTGACCAACAACTAAAGTGGGCATTGCCCTACCTGTAAGAGGAGTTTGGTTTCATTTGTGTGTATATTTGTTTGGTTATAGAGAAAACGTTCCTTGTCTTTTAAAGAAACTGACAAGGGGCAAAAACTTTACCTTCGATTTTCTCAAAAGTATTTTTCGGGATATCCGTCTTGTGCCTAAAAGCGACCAATTTTGAGAAAATCGATAGTAAAGTTTTTGCCCCTTGTTCAGTTTCTCTAAATGACAAGGAGAGTTTTCTCCATAACAAAACAAATATATACACCAATGAAACCAAACTTCTCTTACAGGTAGGGCAATGCCCACTTCAGTTGTTGGTCAAGATTTTTGGAAACCCCGAAATCTGCGTTAGCCCGATTGTCCTTAGAAGCAACCAATGATATTATTACAAAATAAATACTACTACTATTATGGTACAACACATACCTGAGAGTCCTAGAGTAGTTCTCAGGGCAAACCCCAGAATGAAGAGCACGGGGAAGGGTGACATCGTGATGGGCAGCTCGGATGGACAGCAGATGACCAAGGCTGGAGACTAATGGTCAGACTGCAGCAAGATCTGACGTCTTTGCGACTTACTGGCCCCAACACTGCAAACCAACCAACGACTGGGGGGCCTCCAGAAATAATTTGGAAGTTTACTTTTCTGTTGACGTCATGTCGTTCTTTGTTTCGTTGTATTTTTAGAGGGTTTGGTTTTTCCTTTTTTAGGTGGGAGAGCGGGGGGG